ATAGCAAATACAGTTCTAAACCAAAAGAAAATATTGACTTGAAATAGCTGGTTCACAATAAATCCTCGACTTACTCTTGTTAGAATGGACCACAATTTTATACGACAGATCGTTTACTACGTAGGTAGTGTACCTGCGCAATATGTTATCCTAGTACTTTCAATTCTTCTTGTGCCTTTTTGCGAAGAATTAGTTCAAGTGACATCATTCGTGTGTTTATAGAGCGTGGGTTGGAAACGCATAAAATGTCATAATACTCGTAATATCATCGAGTTTAGGATTTTGTTTGGTAAAAATTTTCGCTTGTTTTGTTAAACATCTCAGAAATTTACTTAAGTGTCATCTCTTTCTGTCCTTGTTGTAACAAATTCTACCATTCATTGAATAATATTATAAAGTTCTTTAATTTTGTTTTTCTAGTTACTTAAATTCGGTAAATTGTGTCTTCAAGTAGCATTCTCTGTATCAGACATTATCTAATAAAAAATTCTTTAATTATTTTTTATTGTGTGTTACCACTGTTCAACTTTTCAAAGCTCCATTCACCTTTTATTATTCATCATTACTTTCGTATTTTTTCCTATCTTCTCTTTAGCTACGTTTTACCAGATTGCCTAACTCATCGAGTTATTCAGTTATTTATTTCTAGAGGGCACCACTTCTCAACAATGTAAAATTGATTGGTAGAACCACAAGACAAGTATTCCTTATACCTTTTGTACTGTAACAGTAATGATTTTGGTAACAAGACAAATTGCTTTATTATTATTAAGACAAGGGGCTTCCTACAATGTCTAACAATAGGAATTTAATTGATCATTATGATTGTCTTTAGAAAATCTCCAACTAAATATTATTAAAATGTCTTAGAAATAACGTAAGACCGCTGAAGAGTTCTTGGAAGAAATTTCTCGTGTAAATGTTTAGTTAAAGGTGTCGTAAGTACTGATATGTGATTACTCGTTATATTCATCATCATCATCATCATCATCATCATCATCAGCCTATAAGTGCCCACTACTGAGCAAAGGCCTCTTGTTTGAGCACTAATCACCATGCTTGCTCAATGCGGGTTGGCGATTTCAAACTTATAATTAGAAATTATAAGTGTAGGTTTCCTCACGATGTGTACCTTCACCGTTTGCCAGTGGTGTCTTAATAAGAAAGTAGGTAAGTACATATAACTCGGAAAATCTCCTTAACGTCCGGGCCACCACGACGTTATGTTGATCTGACACCAAACCGTAGTACTTTTTAATAAACCTGAACCTTTTGCCCTGTAACCTTTGAATTTTGTCAAATGTAAATGAACAAAACATGCCTAAAATAGATTATTCTATAGTTAAATATGTGCTTAGTAAAGACAATGTTGATATTCAACAAACAAGGTATCATATGAACAATAATTTGATATGAAACTGAGTAGAAGTGTAATTTATTATGCAGATTGTGCTGGTTCGTGGGTGGTCGGCTTCTAGGCCGGTGACTAGTAAACTGTCTGGGTTACAGTAACGGCTAATTCGCTACTTGATCATGAATGTCTTGTGGATTATTTTGAGGATAGGGGATTTAAGGATTGAGGATGAGGTGAGAAGGATTGGGCCTCCGATAACCTCACTGACACGGCGAAACACAACGTAAGTGTTGATTCACGCTGGTGTTCTGTGAGGCCGTGGTATCACTCTAGTCGAACCGGCCTATTCATGCAGAAGTACGTGGAGTTTTTGTCCTATGATAGCCTTCGATCTTCTTATCATTCCCATGTATGATGGCTTATGTATATACTGTATCAAAATCTTTTGGAAAATCATTTGCGTTTTTCTTTTCTTCATAGCATTCAAGCCTGTAAAATATTGTGCCATTTTGACAAGGTAACCGTAAATCGTGCAGCAGGTTCTTAAACCGGTGTTCTCGTCGTTAGGACTATAAAACCTCAATCCAAACCTACTTAAAATGTAGGTTATAAAACAACGAACGAAATCAAAGTTCAACCGACAACACAAACACTTTTAAACAAACATTGAACAGACAAAAGCTATAAAACAGAACAGACTCATCTCGTACGCAACTCGTAAAAATCAAAAAGATGTAAGGATCATTTTGCGGTTCAAAAATCCGTTCCCGAAACCTGAGGTAACGCGGTAAATATTACATACATTGCGCAGTCAGATAGCAAACTAATAAAACTTCAGTGAGAGAACGTAAACGGAATACAACATGTTTGCAGCCGCTCTGGTGTCGGGCGAATGGGCTCGTATCATTTATGGAGGTCGAAAGATGTACAATTCTAGAAATGCCAGTAATTGTGAATAGTATGGATAGTGGAGACTTGAATAACATTGTTATTGATTTATAGATAGCTGTAAAATCATCATCGACAGTCTTTAATACTGTATATCTATACTATCTAAAGAGGTAACTTTGCTAGTCTGTATGTAGGGGATAACCTTGGGACAAACGCTGGTTGTTTTTCCAAAATTATAATACTGATACATAAGTACAATATTCTTAAGTCCTATATGCTGTAACTTGCGTATTTCAAAACGCTGCTGTTTTTAAAAACCCGGGCACATTTATTTTAAACAACGCATGTGAAGCCGCGGGCCGATGCTAATAGTTAGCTATAATATGAATCTTCTCCACATAAGAGAGTTCAACTAATTCTCCATACTTAGCAAACAGGTTGAAAGTCTTAGTTTAAACAATCCCTGATTATCAAACCATCGCTGAACTGTTTGTCTTAGCGAACTCCTTGCGACCCCCACTAGAACAGTCGAGAAGAGTCGGTGATGACAAAATACTCGCAGTAATAATTCTACTGTGCCATCATTTAGTAATATCTCGATTTTGCTTGCTTCATGCACCCACTGTTAACTCCTCTCTACATCGCCCAAAGGTTCGACTGGGAAAGAATACCTATAGCATAAATTAATACATCACACCACGGTTTCTTCACACCATGTCCACCATTAATAATGTAATAAATTATTTGCATGCATTACTATTTAAAAATGACACTTACAATAGTTTTCCAACCCATTACCAACGTTAATTAAAAGAGAAAATAAAATTTTCGTCGCTCATTCAGCGCCCGAGAGCTCTCAAATTAGTACCGACAATAAATGTACTAAGAATGAGCAGTGCAGTCTTTACTGGCAACACTATTATTGCGACAAACTGCATTGAGTCATTCAGTGGTGTTCACGACGCTCCAGGCAGTAACAATCACGAATTATTGCATTTTTTATTACATAATGGAAGCTTTCACATTTTATATTTATTTTCCAAATCTTTTTGGGATATTTTATATGTATAGCTTTTTTTATGTAATAGGTCGGCAAACGAGCAGACGGATTACCTGATGGTAAGCAATCAGCGCCGCCCATGGACACCCGCAACAGAGGAGTTACGAGTGCGTTGCCGATTTTTTAGGGATTAGGGATTTGGAGATTTAGAGATTGAGGAGGGATTGGGGGAGGGGAAGGATTGCGCCTCCGGTAACCTCACTCACACGGCGTAAAACAACGCTGTGGTTGTTTCACGCCGGTTTTCTGTGAGGCCGTGGTATCACTCCAGTTGAGCCGTGCCGAAGCATGGCTCTCCCACACTTTATCGTTTCTCTATGATACGCTTACTTCTATTGTATTATTTCAATTGATTTTCATCGTAACGAATTGTAATCAGTTTTGTTAAACAACAAACTATACATTAGTGTAGATAACATTCAAAGTATAGAAGCAAAAACCATCCTTAGACTTATATAGATGTTTTTGATAAAAATGACGATTTTTATGCGGCACCCATCGTCGTTGGTAAAGATATATAGGAAATAGATGACGGAAACAAACAGACGTTGGATGTTACTTAAATATATTGACATGGTATTCCTTTTGTGACAAACTAAAATGGGGACGAAGATGCTCAGTGAATAGGAAGAGAGAAAACGTATACCAAAACTACTGAGTAAACCAAATGCGTACCGAGTAATAGTTTAGACACAAAAGACGAGAAATGTTCGCAAAAAACTATAACGACTTGATTTTTATAAAGGCAAAAAAATTTGGTTTTATTAGTCGAATTTGTCCATTTAGAAAAGCAATGCTTAGATAAAAAGATCCTAGATGATAAATCAGTATTATGATATCTACGCAAACAATTATATGATTATGAAAAAATTAAATCAAAATATTGTCGAAAAGAAAATTCATGTCCATTATTTTACAATAAACAGAAAGACGATCGTAAAAAAATTTTTGTAACTACTCAACAATCCAGAACAAATAAAACCAAATAAACGGTCGGCGTCGTCAATTGCGTGTGAACGTCCTGTTACAAAAGTATTTAGGTATCGGACTCAACGAATAAATCAAAGCAAATACAAGGCTCGCATAAAGAATTTTATATTTGACGTATTTGGTACATATGAGTAATATTTACCCTTCTTGCTGCTAATGTAAAGTTAACGACTTATCGACATACAAACACGAAAGTTCCATATATGTACGTATTAAAATTGTTTGAATCAGATTCGTGCTAAACTGTTTACAAAACTTGAATGTATGATCCTAAACTGAAATTTAGATAGCAGTCGATCTTTTTTTATGGAATGGATCGGGAAACGAGCAGTCAGATTACTGATTTAACGATGGTTTTCTGTGAGGCCGAGGTATCTCCGGTCGAGCAGACTCATTTGAGCCGAAGCTTGGCTCTCCCACACTTCACAATCTGTACATTCTTTGCAGACACAGTTAATTCTCCAATTATCGTCATAAATTTAAAAATAATTAAAGTCTAAAAGTTAAAAAATTCTAAAACGACAATAAAAAAAATAGCCTTTAAGGAAATTTGTTAACCAAAAAACGGAAAGAGGGGCGACGGTAGACACAAATAAGATGACTTGATTACAATCCACAAGCTGTTTACTAAGCTTATGGGTTGTTAGAAACTCTCCAACTAGAAAGAGACGATGGCAAAATTTTAATAATGTTTTTCTTCCACAGAAACAAGCGATGCTCGTACGACAATTGGAAGAAGAACTAAGACTGCGCATGCGCCAGCCCGCTCCTGAATTACAACAACAGCTGGAAGCCTTGTTTTCTGAAAATGAACATCTACAAAGAGAGATAGCAATATTGAGAGATACAATAAAGGTGAGATAGAAGACATAAATTTTTACATCCTTTTGTGGATCTTACGTCTAACTTAGATCTATAGCTCAATCGATTATGTCTGACAATCGCTGGACAACATTAGGATGATATTAATAGTAATAGTGGTTACATTCATAAAACATGTACGTAGGTTACGAACCACATTTTAAAACATGAATCAACAACATAAAATAAAATTTTAAGGCAAGATTACAAAAGTGAATTGAGAATATTAGTTAATTTTTACAGCACCAAGCATAATTGCGAGCGAAAACAAACTGCAAGAAAGACAGTGATGCTTCGAACAATCCCATTAAAAATTTAACAAACCAATTTCGTTTCCAAACAGGAACTAGAGTTGAGGATCGAAACACAGAAACAAACACTCCAGGCCAGGGATGAGAGCATCAAAAAATTACTTGAAATGCTCCAAAACAAGGGGATGGGTACGTAACGAAAGTTTATCTGTATTGAGTACTTACCGTCGGCCGTAGTTGCTTAGCAGAAGTAAAAATTCAATAACTTTCAGGTAAAGAAGAAGAACGGCAAATGTTCCAACAGATGCAAGCGATGGCGCAAAAACAGGTAATTGTCGAAACATTATCTAGTGTGTCTTGTGTGCATGTGTTGGTAGCAAAACTTCTAATGCTCAGCCGAGACTTGTTAGCGATTTATTGGAAATTTTGGTACTTCCTAGAGGTTTCCTGCACTGTGTAGCGTAGCGGTATTTTGCGCACATCACTCTGCTTCCTGTATTAGTGTAGTAGTGTTGTGTACCACATGGGCGTTTTATTTTGTGATACCTTTATCATCGTCACTGTTTCTGTTAGAGTTGCTCTTGATAGTTTCATTTCATTCATTTCTTGACTCTTGAGCCGAATGTGACTGTCGCGACGCCTTTTTATGTATTAACTGATCGATCACACTCGTTGGCTTCATAAACTCTTTATCAGATCTCGCTTCTCACTCCCACGGTCTTTCAATACCTTTCTGTGACACTGTCAAAGCTTGAGTCCTGAGCACCAATTTACCGTTTTCTTACTCCCTTTTCCCGCCACCTACACGTCGACGAAACCAAACAAACATAAAACATTTTTAAAAATTTCATCAAAGACGTATTAACTAATTCGGCCTCCAACACAAAGAAAAATTAAAAGAAAAATATCGACACGAACACAAACTAAATCACGACATTGCATGTTTAGCAGCTCATTATGTCCCCGTCACATGAACCTTAGAGAAGACCGTCTCGTATAAATTTTATTGGACATTCAGTTTGAGCAATCATTGTTTTTAGAAGCAAAAATTTAATTTGTACCGCCTTCACCTGGGGCTGCGTCGTGTCGATTGCGAATTGTTTGTCGTAGCCGCGACCCGATTGTCGCACGTCGCGGCTAGTTCACAGTAGCAGTATCGTGTCGCGTCCGACCGGCACGCAGCCCCAGCGAGGCGCGGACGAGACGCGTCGCCGGTCGTAGGTAGGTTGTATGTTGAGCGGAGCCGCCGTCGGTGCTGGCGGCGGCGGGCGGCGGCGGCGGCTGACCGACTCGCGTGACTGGCAGGAGCTCAAGGCGACGGCGGACACGCTGCGGGCGCTGCAGGTGCAGCTGGAGCGCGCGCTGGCCGCGGCCGGCCTGCCGGGCGGCAGCGCGGGCGCCACGCTCACGGCGGTGCTCGAGACCAAGGAAGCGCGCATCGCCACGCTCGAGCGGCAGGTCGCGTTGCTCGAAGGCGAGCTGGCCGCGCTCGTGTCGCCGCCGCCGCCCTCGCTCGCGCCCTCGCACGCCTCGCTTTACGATAAGGCCGACCCTCCCTTCAAGAGACAAGTAAGTTTTCTGCTGAACGACGTGCGGGTGATGAAGGACGGGCGACTCAGCGCGCCGCCGCCGCCGGTGCGCACGCCGCGGCCCGCGCTGCGCTCAAGCCACGCGCACGCCCGCGCCTCGCCCTACTATAGTGCCACCACTCTGTGACTCCGTCGCCGACGACCGACGAGTACCGTGTCAATTTCTCGCTTTAAGTCCGAACTTAGCCGAAATCGTCGCCGACTGTGTTGACTCGTAATATTTTTGTGTAAACTTGTTCGTTGTTAAAGCTATTTTTATTAAAATAAGAGGAATTATATTCTTGAAAGATGTCGATTTAAATATTTTTGTTAAATAGGGCCTTAGACAAAGCGAATATATAAATTTAGATGAAAATTGTATGGTTAGATGAAACATGTGAGGTTGATTACGTTGACACCAAATTTAACGATTTAGAGATAGACTGTTATGAAAATAAAGACTGTCGAGGTCGAATGCATCGAACGATACTACATAACCCTCATGTCAAGGTTCCTGTGGACCTCCTTGATCGTTTTCTGATTTGATCATATTGTGCTTTCGGTGTTGATCGCAAGTCATCGTCCAGTACCGGCTCCAGCTTGTCCCGCGTCACCCGTCATCAACATCAACTAGAGTAGCTCATCACGACCCGACCTCTCTCATGTAGTGGTCATGTTCCATCAGACTTCTCACAGTCACGGTAGATAAGTGTATCACAACGTAGGCGCCCGTGCATCTGACGATGTTTACTGTCGAACTACTTTTGGTACTTATAAACTATATTCATTAGATATTGGATTACTGGAAAACTTTCTACAACCTCATCGAGGCTTCAGACTTTCATATATTTATTAGTATTAGTATAGAAAGTTTTCCAGGTGTAAATATCCACGTACTATTTGGTGATTCGGTACGATTTATATATATTAATATTATGTCGATGATTACAATTTATGATTGCATGTCGAATATTTGAACGTGTGAGAATATCGAAATGTCTTCCATGGCACTGCTCCTACCCGTGTTCACTACTACTCGTATAGTGCTGGAAACATTTCGTGCCCTGTGTACTAACAAATATTGACATAAAAAGCTTGCGTCGCTTGTCATAAGCTCGGTACTAACGTCACTAACCAGTATTTCCTTGATGATCATTTGTGGATCAGTATTATTGAGTAGATTGAAGTTTTAAACATCCGTATCATTTCCGCCATCACTATTGCCTCCGTAGATAGTTTCTTTGGTTTATCTATTTGTGGAGTCTTCCATTTCTTGTGTTCTACTAACGAAATTTTTGGATTTATCTAATTCTATACCGACTTTTGGATGGATGGTGAAATGATGAGCAGCTGGACGAGTTCCGGTTGGAGATCCAGCGGCGAGATCAGGAGATCCTGGCGATGGCCGCCAAGATGAAAGCCTTGGAAGAGCAGCATCAGGACTATCAGCGGCACATTGCCGTACTGAAAGAATCGTTGTGCGCTAAAGAAGAACATTACAGTATGCTACAAACCGACGTAAGTTATCACGTTCTATCACAAAAAATACATCCTGTACAAATTATCTTAGTCGCTGAGATAATGTATCACACAGAACAAATCGAGTGGCACAAACACAATTTAAACAAGTAGTGACGCACTATCGATTTACATTAACAATAGATACATACAGGACATGCCTAACTCATAACTTTTTGTTAACTTCAAAATAGACAAAGAACTACTACCATGCACAGGTGGAAGAACTGAAAGCCCGGCTTGATGAGAAGAGTAGACTGGTGGAGAAGAAGACAGCGGCTGCGTTGTCAGCGACGCACGAGCTCGCTGAGCTCAGAGACCACTCCGAAATCAAGGACAGGAAGATCAACGTCCTGCAGCGCAAGGTAAATAGAAAGTGGAGGTGTTGGAGTTGGTCGTAGAAAATAAAATTCATGTACGAAATACATAAACAAGGATTCAATATATTAATACGAAACCAACACGTAAATATTCAGTAATTGACTATCCTAAGACTTTTTTACTGACTAAACGACCAAAATCGCTCTTGGTTGCTCTATTTCAATCTTCAGTAAAAATAGCACCATAATGTGCAATTTTTAACTTTTGTGCTGCAAAATCGATGGAATCGGTTTAAAACTGCTCTCGTATACATTGAATCCTTTTTTAGCCCCACCTCAATGCTGTATCTGTCAATTCACCTGAAAATGTTCCACTGTATTCCGTTGTACGCTATCTTTATCTATTCGCGTGTTCTCAAGCTAGACTAGCAATACAGTTAAGACTGAAATTATTTTTTATATTTGCATTTTTATTGTGTATTTATTTTATGTTTATACTTTGCTTTTTACTATATACTTTTTGTATGATTATTTATGTCCAGCTAGTTGGGATTATTTTAAACGACCATGTTTGTTTAGTAAAACGTTGAATTCTAGGAAATCGTTAACTGGATTCAAAATATGCATTGGTTGATTGTTCAGTCGATTGGACTACCAACACGATATAAGAACATTAACATCAAACGGGGATCATCTATATTTGTGTGGCCAATGGCCAATCGACCAATTCGTGTCCGTCCCAGTTCCCTCATAGTTCCAATAGAACTACAGAATTATTAATGTACGAGGAAGCAATAGTTACAATTAAGCTAATTTTCTATTCCCAGATAATTTCATTGAAATAGTTTATCAAACACTCCCAACGGGCTTTCACAACGAGTTCATGATTTGAATATTTAATACTATTTGCTTGTTTCCAACTCATAGATATTTATTGAAAAGCAATTAAACATATCTGTTTATTTGTTAAATATTCCGTTGTTGTATGCGCCGTAAAATAAAGTTGTTGTAAGCGAAATTTAATTTCATTATCGCCACGAATACCTACACAGACAGTCGATAGAGACTTTAATCCAATTAATTACTGCTTCTCAAATACTTGCCCCATTTACTTGTTTAAGCTATTATGAGCAGTATCAGTATTTTGGGTAATCTTGCTAATTGTGAATACACGATTGCCAACTTGAGAATTATGTGTAGCAGTTTTTTGATTTCAAATGTAATATTATTTATTTCTGTTATTATTTCCTAGAGCTACTTGTGTTGTGACTTTATTTGCTAGTGATTTTATGTTCGTCATTTATGTTAAAGGTATGTTTTATTTTGTTTTCTTTTTTGCTTTTCTTTTAAGAACATTTTGCATATACGTACAGTTTTGCTGCTGTTAGATAACCACGAGTAGTATTTTACTCAACAAATAATTTTCAGATTGAAAATCTGGAAGATCTCCTAAAGGAGAAAGATAATCAAGTTGATATGGCGAGAGCTAGACTGAATGCCATGCAAGCCCACCACTGCTCTTCTGAAGGTGCTCTCTCATCGCTCGAAGAAGTTATAGGAGACAAGGAGAAACAAATACAGCAATTAAGAGAGCAAAGAGATCGAGCTGAACACGAGAAGAATGAAGAGAGAGAACTGCACGAACGAGAAATAGCCGAATACAAAATGAAACTCCATGCGCTTGAGAGCGAAGTTGAAAAACTTGGTGCTAGACTCGAAAGAGCACAGGCTGAGAAAGATCGCCTTGAAGCTAAGTTAGAAAGCTCACAGTCTGAACTGGGTAAGTCTAAGGCAGAGTTAGACAAGGCTGCCAGCGAGGTTGGCAGGTCGGGCGCTGATTGGGAAGCGGCTAAACAGCGGTTGGCAAGACTTGAGCTCGAAAATGAAAGACTCAAACACGAACTGGAGCGGTCTCAAACAACGTTCGGCAGGAGCACTTTAACTACATCACAGGAGTTAGACAGAGTTCAAGAGAAGGCTGATAAGAGTGCAGCAGAGTTGCGACGAACTCTAGCAGAATTGAGAGTGACTCAGGCGGATGCTGAAAGAGCTAGGTCTGAGGCCAGTGCACTTCAAGATAAGCTGGAGAAGTCACAGGGTGAAGTGTATCGTCTGAAGGCCAAGCTTGAAAATGCACAAACAGAACAGGATAGCCTAAAGGAAGAATACGATCGGTAAGTCAAAAAAATTTTGTTCAGGTTTTTATTTATATCAAAGCTTTAAATTAGAATTAAAGATCCTGGTTACAACGACTTTTGAAACTTAAACTTCTGTACTAGCCAGTAGATAGGGGCCAAGGGTTATAAATCTAAAAAGTTAAGCGCGGCATAAACTCAAGGAGCCGATTTCGTTCAAGATAAATATCAAAGTAACAAAGAAAATATTAGAAAAAAAGAATCTCCCCAATATAACTTTATTTACGTTATGTTCAAATATATATGAAAGTTAAAGTACGCACTTCATAACTTTGTTTATTTATGTGCTTGTAATATTATACTTAAGGAGTTGTTCAGTATTTGAAACTGCTTGAGAGTTTGGAAACTGCCATGTTTCTTGTGTTCTTGTGTGTGTAACCGTTTAACTTATTTCAAGTTATTTTATTTAGGGTGCAATCGTCAGTTAGCCGTCTCCATTCTGAACGAGATAAGGCTGTGGCAGAGTTAGACAAGGCCAGAGAGGAATTAGAACGTACTCAAGCCACTCTGGGCAAGGCTCAGCTGCAGCAAGACAAACTCCAAGCCTCACTCGATGCCGCTCACTCTGAGATCGACAAATTGCAAGAGAAATTGGACAAAGCTGCTGCTGAAGTCAGAAAGGTGAGTGATTCATAGATTTCAGGAAAAATTAGGAGTCAAGCGACAAAATCTAGTCTGCGGTATTAATCATATTAATACTAAAAGGCTTCAGCTACTGACTGCCCCCCCCCCCCCCCCCCCTGAAAATTTGTAAATATAACAAATTTTGATTTAAACTACAACTGAAATTTTTATATTGATCACGACCAAACCTACAAAGTCCATTTGAATACAACTTTTAAGGCATGTAGGTAACTAACAAGAACTAAGTAAAGAATATTACACTTCTTCATACATTTATTTAAAAAATAAGCTATTTCTTGGGTGTAACTTAGTACTTAAATATGGTAGAGATACCACGAAAATAAACCAGAAATTTTCCAAGAGCGTTTGAGTTACACTTTGCACGGCTGAGTTTTTGAGATGGCACTCAGTTATCTTTCCGAAAATATGAATTTAAATGTTGATGAATGTGATGAAAATGATTATAAAAGAAATATTATAAACGAAACTATGCAAGTCTTTGAAAGGTAAGTCTGAACAAAGTATAAAAAGCCATGATTTTTTTCACCAAAAAGCATGTAGGTATATCATTTTGGGACAAGGAGACAGACAGAAAGATTGTACTAGCTCTTCGATATTATTAAGTTCCTGCAGACCACAGACCAAATAGTTATTCAGTTTGTATAAGTCAGAAGATTAAGTAATTATAAATAACTTTTGTTGCAATGCAATGCCAGCTAATGACTTAGAAGCAATCGAATGAAATAACGAAATGGATGAGTACAGTAAAAAAATCACTGATGATGTGATGGAAGGAATATGTCAGGGATAGGCATTCATGATAGCATGTTGTCTAAAAAGACATGATAGGTTAGGAGGATTAATTCATCATTTTGATCATAAAAATATAATGTAACTAGAAACAGTAAACATATTGTAATTTAAACTAAACCTAGGTGTAATACCATGGTCTTATTATAGGAAAACGCTGTGAAGTAATGCTTGCATTGTAGTTTGGCACCAATCCCACCTGGGGGAGGGAGGGAGGAGGCAGGTGTGATGGAGTTCAATCTGACCTATCACCTCCCTCATCCTCAATCCCCACTCCTAAATGCCAAATTCTTAGGGATGGCCAGCAACGCATTTATAACTCTAGTGTTATCAATGTCCTTGGACAATAACAATAGCTTTCCGTCAGGTAGCCGGTCCGCTCGTTGCTCTATACCATAAAACGGCAGAAAAGCCTACATTACAATTAAAAAAAAACTTAATTTGACCTTATAAAGTTCAGTACAGCAATGGGGTTAAGTGTTTCATGTACAGTTTGAAATTTATTGCTGATTTAATAGTGAGTTTACGATTGTTTGATAGAGGCTATAAAATACTATTTGTGACAATGTAAACGCATTGTATTTATGACCAGTGATACTTTAGGCTTTTGTTATCGGAATTGGTCTATGGACTCTTAGTTGATAATGACTGTGCTGATAATTATATCATTAGCCTATAAGTGCCTAATGGTCAGCACAGGCCTCATCTTATGAATTTGCTCAAGGTAGATTCGAACTGCTTTACCGAATATTAACACTTAGAACGCCATGTCGGACAATGCTGTCCGACGCTAGCGGAGGATTAGCCTTCAACAGTTTTTGTCGGCAGTCAAAAGCTTAATGCTGTCCAAATAACCTCAAAAAGTTAATATAGCTAAGAAGAATCTAAGAAGTCACCTTAGGCTCTAGGCAATACGACCAATTTAAGGAGTGGACGAGTACGGACAATGTTAATCATGATGATGTTGGCTTTGAATAATATCACGAATATGTCTAATGCATAATAAAAATCAGAGCAAAGATAGATTTTTGATTAACAGTAACAAAAAAAAGACGTTAAATATATGTTTATAGGATTACTTTATGTATCTTTTGTTATGGGGTAGGGTGACAAAAGGACTGAATTTCACGGTATGATAAGCAATTTGCACCGGCCATGGGTATCTACAACACAAGGGGTGTCGCAAGCACGTTGCCATGTTTTTGGGGTTAGGAATTTGATGATTGAGAGATTGGGGATGTGGGAGAGGATTGAGTGAGTGAGAGGATAGAACTTTACACGGCGAAATACAATGCAAGCATTATTAGATGGTTTTCTGTCTTTTTCCGCTATCTTTTCTCTCCCCCAATCCCTAAATCTCCAAATCCCTAATCCGTAAAAGATCGGCAACTTCTTTTTTGTTGCGGTATCAGGTAATCCGCCTGCTCGTATCATATAAAAAAGGCTTACCTTTTTATTACAATTGTGCGTAAAACGATCAATTTAAAATTATGTGGGATTGGATATTACGATAACTGAACCGGAGAGTGAATCACATGCTGACTCAGTCACATACAAGTAATAATTATTGGCTATAAATTTCATACATAAGTTGTGAAGTGAAACTCTCGCAGACAGTATATTAAATTAGACCAATGATATGCAGGAAACTTTGGACACTGCAGATCTAAACTGGAACGCTTGCGAAGTTAGAATGTGAAGGTGTCTTACTTATTTGTCAATGAGAGAGGAGATTCTAGTACTAAAGTTATATGTGTGAGAAGTTTGCCTATGTGTGAATTTAGTTGGTATGCTTCTGTGAAGACAAACGTGGTTATTTTGGGCTTAATATTGATTTATTCGAAGTGTGACGACGCACTTAGCTGCGAGTGGGGTATATTTAACAGAAACCACAGCGTGGTGATACTGACAACCCCCTCTTATGTACCTAGAGAAGGTCAACAGTTCATAAAAACTGATCGTTGAGAGAGTGCTTTTCAGAATAGGACTGCAAATCACAAAACGTTTAAAATGGCAGAACATAGGAGTAATTTTAAACAACATATTTTGCTCCAAAAACCACTAGCAGAAGCTGTTTGATACATAGACATCAATTCAATAAATTACGTTTACGGAACTAACGAGCCTTTGACATAAAAGTTAAGAGTTGGACGGTAGGGTGACATCCATTAATCCGCACTTGACCTGTAGGATTACTTATTGTAGGGCACCCTCTGAGAGTAGGACAGTGTCCCGAATATAATGAGGACATAAAGGCTGATTATGCAAGAATTACAAAAGTACTCTTCAACGTTACTCCTAAGGATTAGGATTACATCCGCTATAGTTTATGAGACTGTTCCTGTAGATTCTTGCACGGAACAATTCTTGGTTTGACTGATAAAGTAATTGTTGAGGATCTGGACTTAAAATTTACTCTGTATTTGTAAAACACTCGCACATCAAGAGAAAACTCTATAAAATAATAATCAAAGATCAGTATGCTAACATTTCTGTCATCCTTTTGCTGATGCTGTCAGCATTTGTGGTACCCACTCTTATTTGAATTCTTAATCATTCTTAATGATTATTCTTTAAATCTTTAATTTAACTACTACCATAGCCGCCTCTCTATCGTAGGTCTCCTAACAATACTTTGGGAATGTCTTTATTCAGAAGCATACGTATTTTGTTTAATTATTATCGGTTCCGTCCTTGGTTTGGACGGGTATCGTTTTGCCTCGGTTTTGGTCATTTAATTTTTTATCGAAAGTGAAGCATCTAAGCATCTATATTTCGAAAGTGTTGTTTCTAGATTTATATCCTTTACTATAAATTTTCCAATTGTTCCTTCTTTGTCCCAGTGTCAAGTGGACCGCGAGAAGCAAGCGTACGACTTTGAGTCGCTGCAGACACAACTGGACAAGGCGCTGGGAATGTCAGCACGCTTGGGCAAAGAGAGGGACACGGCACAACTGGAGGCTGATCGGTTCCGGGACAAGTATGAGAAGTCACAGGTAAGGCCTACTCAATCATCTTGATATACCTCTTGTAGAAATTTCGTCAATTTTCTTTTGTAAGCAATCAACGCCGCCTATGGATACCCGCGACAACGAAAGAGTTACGAGTATGTTGGCGACCTTTAGGAGACTTGGGTTTAAGAGATTTAGGGATTGGAGGAGGAGAACGATTGGGTTTCTAACAACCTCGACTCATTCTTGCCGTAGCATAGCCCTTCCATGCTTATGATGATGACGTTTTGCGTGTTAATTTCTCGACGGGGACGGGAGACGGGAGACGGGGTGTAATTTAAAAAAAAAACATGCGAGATGGTTGTTTGTGGTGATCTTCTACCTAACAGCTGTTATATAGAAATTTCTATCAGTAAAAACAAATTTCATCAGCGCAGTGTAAAAATAATCGCGACAAGGATTAGTTTTATCATCGGTTTTATGATAGCATGAGGTACACATTTACCCAATTCGTGCAAAATTATTTCGGTGTTCATAAACTTTCCATCAAGTTGCTTTAATTCGTTTTCTTTCTCAAAACATCTAAGTGGATGTGAAATATACTATATTATAAAGAGGTAAAATTCGTAATTTGTAAGTTTGTATGTAGGAGTTATTAAGTGCTATAGACATCACGCTACGATTTATAGGAACCAAGCTGCGAGTGAAACCGTGCGAGATTAGCTAGTATTTTATAATATAGGCTAGGTACATCAAATTGTCACTCAAGCAAAAAATAAGGAGAAGTGTTTTTTTAGTTTTAACTAAAGCTTTAGTTTTTTTTTTAATCTTTATTTTATTAAAAGGGCTTTTTTCCATACAGAAGATTTCAGCCCTATTATTGTGTACAAAAAAGCTTTAGTTTATTCTTGCACAAAAACACTTTACGAACAAACGACGAGGACTCTTTTACAACGTTTAATAATTCAAGAGTGTTTATAACCCTTAGTAGCAGTACAAGTCTCTGCAGCTAATGGAAGCAAAGTAAACAGAAGTTTTAAAATATACATATTTAAGTCATATTTAAAGACAATTCCAAAGCCGGCAACGCGCCTTTGACTTCTCTGGTGCTGTAGGTGTCCGTGGACGGCGCTGATCACTTACCATCAGGTGATCCGTCTGCGCCTTTGCCTCCTATTCCATAAAAAAGACACCAAATAAATATATGGTATGTTTTATATTGATATTTTATAGTTTTTTTCAGTAAGGAAAATCTTAAAACTTATATAAAATCATACCATAAAATCGTTTGTTTCAACACACTTTTCCGTTTATTTTTAGGCCCCATAAAATTGTTACTGAAGATTATGTCCGATAATTAGACAAAAACGTAACCACTAAATAAATATAATATTTATGAACATTCAACTATTGCCGATTATTAAAAGAACAAATGGTATATAAGACACTAGCTAATCTCGCGCGATATCACCCGCTGCTCGGCTCCATTTGATTGTAGCGTGATGTTTTATAGCCTATAGCACTCGGGAACATTATAGCTATCAGTGAAAGAATTTTGGCAATTCGACCAGCGGTTCCAAAGATTACCCCCTACATACAATCTTACAAATTTTACCTCTTTATAATATTAGTATGGATAAAAGAAATGAACAGTAATCAAAATAAAATTTAGAAAATCCCATTTTCAACCTGAAAAATATGAAACGTGAGTTGCTTGAAACTTTAGCTTAGCCCAAAGGCTGTCGAACCAGAAACCCGAGTACGTAAACGGATACAACTGAATATTTGATGGTTTCAGCTGAAAATTTAAAGCCTAAATGTAGGCAGTCGAGACTCAGGCGACTGTTACAAAATTAAACATTGAATAGGTATATTTTCAGGCTGAATATGAAATACGATTTACTCTACAAAACATCGATATTTTTAGGTAAATTTTCACTGGGATTTTTATTTTTAAATATACTTAGTTTCTTGTTCGTTCTTCTCTATCGGAATCCACACTTTGGAACGAGCAAATAGCTTCACTAAGAAAACTGACCGACAGATGACGCTTTATAGAGTTAAAATTTTGTTTGATGTTCAAAAGTGCCTGTTGGGTTCTAATTGAAATAAATGATTTTGACTTTGACTTTGACTTAGCGAAGGCTTTTATTCTATAAACGCCTTTAAGTGTATTTGAAAAACAGTGACTAATTACGTGGGATCTATATTATAGGAAATGAAAAGCCACTCCGGGGTTTAAAAAGCGTGGCAATACGTTATAAAATACATTTTTGATAAACTTGCTATCAAAAATAAATACAGGCATCACAATTATGTACATCTACTTAAATATAAAAATAAAATCATAGAAAAAAAGAGCAAAAAGAAAGTTATAAAGAATACAATAAAAAGAGCTATGAACCAAAAATTCTCAATAACAATCCTCTAGATATTGGATTTGGTTGACAAAGATTCTTCGTTCCAATTATGATAAAAATATTTTCCCTGTTGCTGTACCTAATTTCTTTTCCAATCTTTTGTTAAGTTTCGACTCACGGATTTTGATTATTTATTCTTTGCGATATGGCTTTGTGCTAACTGTCATAACTTTTTTGAGGTGACCTTTAAACCAAATGGCTTACTAACTTAAGGGTTTTTTCCAAAAGTCCTGATCATGATCATCATCAGCCTGTAAATGTCCACGACTTATCAAAGGCCTCTTATCACAGGGAGAAAATTTGGACATGAATCACCAAGCTCACAAGGTCAACAAGTGATTTCAAACTTAGAAGTAATGTAGTCTAGGTTTCCTTTCGATGTTTTCTTTCAACGTTTGTCTGTGGTGTCAAATACATATGTACTTTCAATTGGTTTCAAACCATAAGGGTTCACCAGGGTGTAAGAAGGGCCCACTTTAACCTCGACTTTGACGAGAATAGTAAAATAAAAGCCTGTCCGATTCATCCTTAAAATGCTAACAAACTAAGTATTGTGGTAATAAGTAATGGTAACAGATCGATCGATAAAGTAATTTATCTAAGAACAAATTTTATTTGTCGAAGCAAAATCAACTTGGCCTTGATCGTCTTCGCAATATTAAATACCTTGTTAAATAAAAACGAAAGACCTCTTTTATTTTAAAATTTTGATTTTCAGCGAAAAACAAATTACTTTTAGATGTTACTGTAACTACGTTATGTTTTCTTAGAATATTGTTTTACTTATAATGTTAATAGTAGTAGGTACTAGTAAAAATAATATGGAGGCTGGAATTGTTTGGCGTCTGTCAATATGCTAATAGTTTTCGAAGAAAAATGGAGGTTACAATTATGGGGACTAATAGATACTAGTGAAATTTCTGAACAATTTTGTACAGTATTTTGTGTAGTGAGGTCTTGTTGTTTTACGTTTAATTTACACATATTTTTTTATTTATTTTTTATGTGATAGCTCGGCAAACGATCAAACTGATTACCTGATGGTAAGCAATCAGCGCCGCCCATGGACACTTGCAACAACAGAGAAGTTACGAATGCGTTGACGACCTTTTGGGGATTAACGACTTGAGAGATTTAGGGATTGGGGTGGGGAAGGATTGGGTCTTCGATAACCTCACTCGCACGGCAAAACACAACGCAGTCGTGGTCTCACGCCGGTTTTCTGTGAGGCCGCGGAATTACTCTGGTCGAGCCGACCGATTCGGGCCGAGGCATGGCTCTTCCAAACTTTTAATTAACTAGAGAAATACGAATACCAATGATTATTTTTGATTATTGATAAGTCCTCGTATTACCTACATCATAAGAATTACAATTTATCTTTTATACTAGAGAAAAATCTATTTTGACTCGACATTATTTGGTAAGAAAGCTTTGGTTTGGTAGGGATTTTTCCTGTACAAATTGTTTCTTTGGAATGAGAGTTTTATTAATAGTTAATTTAGAGGCTTATTTATTGGTAACATAAGGATACATGTAATAGAATTGTATTTGTATACATATAGGATTAAAAGCCTTCTTAGAACCGAAAACAGATATAAGTCTATGGATTTCCTTCCATGCCTTGTTTTTGATTATTTCTTTTATCGAATTTAAAATTCGTTCCTCTCCATACGAATCTACACTTGGAAAGGAGCACTTAGCTTCTCTGTGGGGTGTTTGAAAAAATACCCGAGATTAGTTTAGTTGAAATAAAATTTCACTTTGATTTTTGACGTTTGTCGTACCTACGCTTATAGTAAAAGCCAGGACACAGAAATTTTGGATTAAGTACTACTATTATTCATGTTGGTCGTACCTAGATGATGTTTCTAGGCAAACGATTACAAATATAAAGGGATTGACGGGAGACGATTCTTCAATAACGTTCCTAAATACTGAATCGGCCTAGCTCAGAGCAAGAGAATGGTTTAGCTAGTAAAGCCCCGTTTACACATTCGGGGATTCGCGTCGGCGGATTGTAATTAAATAAATGTAATTTCTCCGTTAGTGCGGGTCTCCATGAGCGGTTCTGATAGCTTACAATCTGGTAATCCGTCTGCTCTTCTGCCGTCTTATCACATACAAAATAGCAATGTATGGCGGACCAAATGACCCACCCAGGGCGGTGAATTATTATTATTTCCCCCCTGCCTTCTCATAATAAACCAGTACTGAATGAAAATCCACTAAAAGCTATAACTTCACGAATTATAGCCACACTATGCTAATAGAACGGAAACGTTTAGTGGCCAGTATCCTGACAGTTTTATCTGAACACATTACGATGGTGTTAACTGACTCATTAACTTTATGGACCGTCAATTGTGAGTTTGTTGTTCTATGAAGTGTCCGGAAAGATAGGAGTGTAAGCTTTGTACAGTAAACTTTAGTTTGTAAGCCATAAATAAATAATATTATATAACACATTATATTCACCACGTCTTCTTTTTCGACTACTATCAGCTAGAAGGCAAAAAAGGCCGGCTTAGCATCTGTGAGTCCTCTGGTATTGCGGTTATTCATGGTGGTGGAGCTCATCACTACCATCAGGTGATCCGTCTTCTTGTTTGCCTCCTATTCCAT